CAGTGTTTTCTCGTTCTCGGCCCGTTGCTCTCTTCCCCTTCAGATTAACAGAGAGGCAGTGGAGCAGGTGGAGAAGTTCAGGTACCTCAGAGTGGCGTTTGCTGGTGATGGAAAATTTCAGGAGATCGACCGGCCCATTGGAGTAGCCGGTGGCATTTTGCATTAATTAACCAGAACCACTATGACTAAAGCAAAGTTGAGTTTGAAGTTTAAGCAGTCGGCGTTCAAGTCGATCTTCATACCAATGCACACCTACAGTTACGAGTCATTGGCCATAATTGAACATCTTCAATTCTAGGTACAAGTGCTGAAATTGGCTTTCTGAAACGTATCACTGGGCTCACGCATCTCGGCATGATCCGCAGTACAGATATCCGAGAGAGCCTTGGTGCAGCGGCTCTTCTCCAAGTGAAAAGTCACAGCTGCGATGGTTTGGACACGCATTTTGAATTCGTTCAGATAGGAACACGTAATAGCTACTACCACCCTTACCGACAGGACGAAGACTTTGAGGACGGTCAAGAATAAACTGGGAAGTGTACGGTAGGACTCGGCCAGCGACACAGGTTATCTTCTGCTAAAGCTTAAGCGCTTGCAGAGGGTCCGGCACGTCAGAGACTCTGTGTGACGCGTCTGCTTCGCAACATGAGAGGATAAGCATTCATTGAAAAGTGATGGACTGACTGACTAAAGAACACAGCTATGCGTCTAGTGTGATCTTATATGGTGCGGAGCGGAGTTAAGACTGTTATAAATCTTTCGAGAATAAACACTTAAAGGAATAATATAAAATCCTGAACTCCGTCAGTGCAATAGTTATTCTTCGCTCGTCACTCACATTTGGCATTGTTATCACCGCACTAGAAGAGTCGTTTGACCACTATTCGGCAGTTTTGCACAACTCTCTTATCTTCATCATTCCACAGGGTTTTTGACCTTCCTGGCCTTGTTGGACATATATTGTTTTCTTTTGTCGTCAGAAATAAATTTTTAAGGATATTTTGTAGTTAGCTCAGGCTTTCGCTGCAAGTTGCTGTTGTTTCGTCATTG